TTCTGTGGGAAATAGCTTGGTTGCATTTTCTAACAGAAAAGAATTACAAAGCAAAATCCAAAGTTACAAATATTCCCAGAGGTTCTTGATGAAAGAAATGACTTTCTGAAAACTGAGTTGACACTGTAGTGTTACAACCTTTAAATCTGTAACATTGGATAAGCTAGGAAAGAAGTCACATCCTTGCAGTACTATCAGTTATGAACCCTGAGTGAGTATAGAGTGAGGAAAGGACATCTTGTAAATGAAGAAAGGTTACTACTGGTCAGAGGAAAACACAAGTATTCAACATGCAACGCCTGGCACTGGTGTCTGCAGCAAGGGGAAGCAGGGCCACATCAGTGGCAGGAAGTTAAGGGTGGAAAAGATCTATCACACAGTTCAAGAGCTCCAGGAGAAAGAAATCAAAAGTATGCGGTCAACACTGTTTCCAGTTTGCTTTGCACAGCACGAATGGAGTGAGCTGAGGGATTCCTAATTCCAGGAATTAGGAACAGTTGTGCAATTACAGTGTACAATATTCAGATCATTCCCTTTAACCAGAAATTACCATGTAAAGAAAATCTAAAGCTTTACATAGGCCACTGGAGTATTTCTATATTTTTCTATCTTTTCTGAGGGTCAATGTATGAAAATTCATTTGAATGAAAATAAAATAATACATTTTTCAGCTCATTACCTGATCACAGCCTAAAGTACGCCAGCTTAGTAAAGAAGAAACCTAAGTGATTGTGATCTTTTCTCTTTTTACTTTGTTAGGCTTTGTATATTCTCTGTGTACAGCAGAAAAAGCTTTAATCTTGAGTGCATCCTAAACCAGCATCAATTTAGAATAGCACATACACAGGATGTATAATTTTACATTCCTCCCATGTTTGCAAGTGGAAGTAAAAGAAGCACATCAAGGGAGAAAACGTGATTCACTAAAACCAGATCCTGTCTTAAAAAGCTCACAACTTACACAGTAGATCTTGCAGGCAGCGAAAGCTATAACCTACCTCAGAATCTTGGGAAGAGAAAAAAAAACACGGTCTCTAGAAACAGAATTTTATATCTTTGGAATGTATTTTCTAGTTTTAACAGGAACAGCTCAAATTCACTGCAGAATATGTACGAGGGCAGTGCAAGTCTTCATACGCAGTGAAAATACGAGCAAAATAGAAAACTAGTATCCTAGATTATTGCCATAGTTTGGCCTCCATTAAAAAATAGTTTCTCTGAAGCTAGGAAAAAAAAGAAAGAAGAAGAAAGGAAAAGGAATGCTTCAGTTCATTTGTGCTATAAAACAGACTACTCAGGAGCTAATAATACAATGTGCCACTGCAGATCTTACAGTCAGATTATGACTTCCCCTTACGCATGGCTGAGCTGTTCCTCTCACAAGTAGTTCTCCACAAGCAAAGATGGATGACTTGGAAAGACACTGGGCTTTGTGTCTATCTCAGATGAGTGTAAATCAGGAAAAACTACAGCGAAGTCAGTGGGATTATTGTACTATAAAATGGATGGGAAAGCAGGACGCAGCTTTCTGCATGCAGCGTACAAAGCGGCATTTGAAAGCCACACTTTTAACTCAGCAATTTCTTTTGCTAATCTGGAATCATTTAATGATTTTTTTCCTTCCCTCCCCCACACATGACAGTGTGTCACCTTACTTCTTTACTTTAAATGCCCCAAAGTCTAATTTAACATCACTGAAGCTTGGTTAGCTCATCATCTGCCACTAAGCAAACCTTTGCATGCGAGGTGCCCCCAACCTAGCCTCGGGGTCACACGTTCCCACTGGCACTCCAGATGTGGCCCAATGCAGCATCAGCAGTGCAGAAAAATGTTTCTGTGTCCGGTTCCCTGCACAGCAGCAAGGCCAGAGAGCAGCAGAGGACCCTGTCATTACCTGAAGAGATTTGCCCTGTTGTGGTGGGTTTTCAGGGACCATGGGAAGCTGTACAGGAGGGATTGTAGCCCTGTGCATGGAGAGGCAAGAGGGCTATGACACAAGGGGCATTTCTAGTGCAGCAAACAAAGAAAAATTGCATTTTCATATCAATGACATTTTAGAAAAAGGAAATGGAAGCCAGACAAAGAAAAGAGTGGGTATTTCTGCCTGGTTTTGAGCTTCCAGAAGAGGCTCCTCCATTTAAAGAGGTGGTGCATAAGAGAAAGCACCATCGCATCATCTGCTAATTATCCTACTGTGTGCACTGCACTGCTGCCTGCTCGCCTGAAGCACTGTGATGGGCTGGCACCAGGAGAGCAAGCCTTGTCTTTAAATTGTCTTTAAATTGAGACGCAGAGTCTTTCATAAAGTTATGCACAAATTCTACCAGGGGTTTTTAGGTCTTATAATGTTTGCTAATATAGCAAGGAAAAATAATTCCCTCTGCTTTAGGGATTATCAGGTGAAATTCTGTGCTTAGAGGTATGCATAAGGTTGGACTGCTTGGTCAGAATGGTCCTTTGTAGCTTTAAGTATCTATGCAGCTATCTCTCACCATTATCTGCCTAGAGTGTATAGACTAAATAATGCATTTTCCTAACTTAAGACTAATTAATGAAACTTTTCAAACATAAATTGTTTAGTCTTTGAAAGATAATACATATATTAGAAACCATCTGGTTTTAAAATCAGTAGGACAATGGATATTGAAGAGTGTTTGCTTAAAGTTCTCAAAGAAGAGAAGAAATAAAAAATACATCGTAGCTACACAGAACAATATTCAGAATAAATTATTTAGCTGGCATTAGAATGTACATCATCATATATTCTTCTTATATCTTCTATAATATGAAACTTAATATGTTTCGCTGGGAGTTAGAGAACTCTCAGGGAAGTGATATGCCTACCATCACACCCTGCCTCCACCTCCTCCACCTTTGCAACAAGAAGCATACTTACACAGAGGGTGTAATGCGAATTCCAGGTGACTGGAATACACATCCCAGCCTCTGTTCTGGGAAAGCTGAATGACTCTTTCACTGCAAATCCCATTTTGACAGTTATGGCACAGGCTTCCTAAGGGTTTCACACCATAACTTTAAACATTTGTACCTCCCATGCTGCCAAAGACCATGTAATGTTTCCTGATAGTGAACTGTGCATTGACATACTCAGTCATAGAATCATAGAACGGTTTGGGTTGGAAAGGACCTTAAGATCATCTAGTTCCAACCCCCCTGCCATGAGCAGGGACACCACACACTAAACTATGTTGCCCAAGGCTCTGAAAAGGAAGGATGGCCTTGAAATCAGGATAGGATAGGATAGGATAGGATAGGATAGGATAGGATAGGATAGGACAGGACAAGATAGGAATGGAACTGGTAAGAGATGCTCACAGTTTGTGCCCGTTCCTGTAACATGGTTGCAGAGCACTTGCAGGAGGTTCAGCAGTATCATCATCCCGAACTAAGAATGAAAAACTTAAGACTGGAACTTATTCCTGGTCAGGCAGAAAATCTGGGCAATGCTGAAGACTGAGCCTAGCCCTCCAAGCTCTGCACGGGCATCCTTACCATCAACAGGTTGATTTCTAGAGGTACACTGTAGTGGAACAATCATCTATGGTAAATATAAATCTGAATTTTGCATGAGACTTCAGAAATCATAGTGTTTCTGCTGAGGTCTTGTGGTAGCATGGGCTTTTTGAAAGGTATGTATTGAGGGGCTTTGTGGATTCTTTCTGGCCTCATGGGAAAATACATGTGTCTCTTTGCAAATGAATGAACAATAAAAATCTCAGCTGTACAAAGCAGTGGAGAGGAACAAGACTGTGTTTCTCCCTAGGGAAGGACTACATGCTTTTTCTTTCTTTCTTTATCTAATTTCTACAGGTCTGCAAATGCCTATAAGCCCCATGAGTTCCTCTTACTGCCTCTCTCAGCAACTGGCTTACCACTGAAGGAATCTGTGGCAGGAAGTGTTAACTGAGTTGTAACGAATCCCCAAAGGCACAAATTACATATGCCACCGTTTTCAGCATGGGTTTGTTGTTTTTTTCTTTGCACCAGGGAGAAAACAGTTGTCAAAAGCACTTGTGAAAAGTAATTCTCCATCTGAGATTCCTGGGTTACAGGTAGCTGGTCAAAATAGTTTCTGGATAAAAAAAGTTTCTTTGCATGAGACAAACACTCTCTGCCGGTTCCCTGAGACTCTTCCACAGTTTAATGAACTCTCTGCACATAAAGTATTATCAAGACTATTGGGACATTTCTCTTACTACATGGTACCTAAAGCTCAGCACACAGTGGAATCAAAGGCATTTTCACCTGTCGGTTTATTCCAGGCTATAGGCCAGTTTGTCTCCCCCCTTAACCAGCCCTGTAACTTTTGCATGGATGGGGATTTGAGCAACCTGGTCTAGAAGCAGGTGTCCCTGACCATGGCAGCAGGTTAGAATTAGATGATCTTTGTCCCATCCAACCCAAACTATTCTGTGATTCTATGTGAACTGCAGTCTCGGACCTCATGACATATGGGCACATGCAGTGGTCACTGTCTTAAATGATCACACCTTCCTGCTTCCCCTTTCCTGTGCTGTGGGCAGTGGCTCACATGGCATCTTTTCCAGGGAGCTGTGCAAGTGCTGGGGCTGCCATGCCCACCAAGCCTCCAAACCTGTCTGAAAGGAGAGCGGCAGAGTCAGTCAGCATGCTGGGTTCTGCAGGCAGAGGTGGGCACAGACAAAAGGGAAACAACCACTGGTGTGAGACTGGGCTGTGTTCCTGGGAAGCAGCACGTGACAGTGCAGGAGCTGTGTTATAAAAAAAGGTTTCTGTTTGTATTAAGATGAGGAACAACATATGGCTTGGTACTTGTCTTCAAATCAACTCTTGACTTGGCAGGGTTTAGCTAAACCAAACCAGTCTTTCGGAGATTAGGCCAAGAGCTGCTTGAATTTCACAGGCCATGTTGCATTTCATATGATACCTATTTCTAAAATGCTAGCAACATTTGTAAAGTTAGCATAGAAACAAAACTTCTGGACAACAACCAACTTTACAGGAGCCACCTGTGTCCTCGCTGCCTTTAAACCCAGACCACAACTTCAGCACATCGGTTAGTTCAGTATGAACCTGAAATAAAACTCCAAAGTTGAAGGCCTCCGAACTTTCGTAGGTGCTGCCCCACACCAAGGCTGACATTTGCAGAATTTTGTCTACTGAGAGAAGCGAAATTCTGTAAGTTTTACCAACAAGATGTAGGATTGATGAAGCGATACGATTCCATGTTCGTTTATGAGCCTGCAGTTTGCTTATAATTATTCTATTCAAACTTGTTCTTGTGTACCTGGTATAAAAGACAGAAAAACATTTATTAATCCAAACCCATTCTCATCTACAGAAGTTGTGTGCAGAGAGGAATTCTCTTAACAGGTACCAAGCTGCAGTCATTGCTCTCAAAAGATCTGACCAAGCAATTACGTTTTAGGCTGGGGTTTATGTATACGTCAGGCTTTTCCCAGCCATATTTGTTTGCTCTGTTTTCTTACTATCATGGTGAGGTGAAGTTCGTAAGCATTCTGCCATTGTGAGTACTTCACAGAATAAGACAGTGGGATTTTTTTGCATATCCCACTTAGCTGTCTGCCTGCAGTAACAAGAGCACAGGGCAGTGAGGGAAGAAAACTGCTTATGTGCATGCACTTGCTGTCATTAAAAAAGTCAAGCAGTGGATTTCTGCAGTAACTAGAACTTAAAAAAAAACAAATAAACCATAAATATGTCTAAAATCAGCCCTGCAAGCTCATGCTCTTTCTGCAAACTGCTTGTTCGATCCCTGACGAACCCGCTGAACAGCTTTTGGATTTTATATACTGCATCCTCTCTTCTAGGAAAAGGGAACTGAGGTGACTCGTCATACCTCATCAGATGGCTGCATGATTTTCTGTTAAATAGACAAAATGCCCACCCCACTTCAGGATGTCATCTCTGTGATGCCATCAGCATCTGCATCTGATCTTTTTGAAGTCTAGATGAGTTTTCTCACTCAAATTCTGTTGAAAGGATCAGCTCTCTCAAGACCAGAAGGGGGAATAGATTGCTTTCCCAATTTGCCAGCAAAAACAACAGGAAATTATTAGCTTCTGACACCTTTGAACAGTTCAGTAAGTAGGCTGATTTGTTATTATTGCTGGTATTCCTCCAAAAAGAGCACTTTGCCTCTTGCACATTTTCCCTTTTCTTTCTGTAGTTGAGTAAGCAAGCAAATGAGGAAAATAAGCCTTAAGTATGAATGCCTGATCTTCAGTGTCAATAGTACTGATAGCACATATTTATCTACCGCATGGTGTTGGCATTTATCCATTAGAGAGCATTAAGGAAGAGAACCATGCAAGCCCGGGGAATACTAAGTTTGCAGGCAGACAGACCTGTTCAGGCATAAGACTGGCAATGGCAATTACAGAGCTGCCTCAGGTGAGGAGTGCTCATATAAGCCAGCTCCCTGTGCCCTGTGTGCTGCTTCTCATGGACCTCCAGACATTTAGCATCTCTTTGCCATGCCCGTGCAGCTGGCAGCTGTTAAAATAGGGATGCAATGGCCTTTCATTCTGTTACCTTTTGGCTATCTTGTCCCCCAGCTCCTCTTCCCCTTGATTATGTCTGAAACCTGAAACTAAGCTGTCCATGATATCTACAAAGCACCTCTTATGTTGTCAGCTGATGTTCAGTGGAAGGGCTGTCTTAGCATCTGCAGCAGAGAGGGAGATGTGTGCACAGCAGAAAGGATACCAACCAACGTCTAAGGTTTTGCAGCCCCAGCAATGTTTCTCTCACTAAATACAGTCACATTCTCAGCTGCAGAGCTTACATGAACCCTCTACCACACTGGCTAATGCAAATTTCCTCTAGCCCAGTGCCCTTCCTGCCCAGTAGATCCCAATGCCTATGAATAGCTAATGTATTCCATGGGACCAACCATGGGAAAATAAATTAATGTAAACACTAGCAAGGACTCCCACCAAAAGAAATACAGCCAACAAGGCAGCAATTCAGACCTCAGTCTTCTGCTCTCCAGCACTGCATGCTCACCCACCAGCACTCATAAGGCCAGAAGGGACAGGACTTCTTTCAGCTCTCCTTCTATTCTAACTTCATATGATCTTTTTCACCCTATTTTTGTTTGTTTGTTTGGTTTTCCCTTGCTGGAACACTGCTCTAACATAGTTATGCCATATACATACCTGTATCTTACTATTTAAAGTTTACAGTTAGGGAAAAGCATGTGGAAATACTCACTACTGCTCCACAATCAAAGTTTTTAAGTCAGTTATTTCATTACTGGTTAGGAGAACAGGGTGCCTTTAAAAATAATTGTGCATTTTCCAATCTTGCTGACTCGCTGAGTTTTCCAGCTTGAGATCTGATGAATCAATATTACATTATTATTACTAGCACCTACAAAAACATAATTAGAGTGCTAAATATTATTTCAATGCCTTGAAAATCTCATATCAGTTTCAATCATCTGCCAGCTCACGAGAAGGAGGTGGTGACTTATGGAGAGAGCAGAAAAAGCAGCAAATATTTCAGGGTAGGTTGGAACAATTCACAGGAGAGCAATAGTGGCAACTGCAGAGCTCACAAATGATGATCAATAGGCAATCTTAAGAGTGAAGTCCTTTGTGCAGCCACAAAATATCTACATCAGCTCCCTGTGTGTGAGGCTGTCGAGCAGGGTGTAAAAATTGGATCATGGGCTGAAAATGGTGCGAAACCCATTGGACATATCCGGTGGATAGACTGTGGCAGCAAGCAGTAAGGATGGGCTACGTAGCGCCTGCTGTGTTCAGAAACCAGCTTGGAGTTGCTAGATGGGTAGGGTAGATTTGAGACATACAAAGAAAGTGTGCTGATGGCCCAAGGTGCTTTTGCAGCTCTATCTGGCCAGCCTGCAGAAGCTGACTCCCAAAGATTTAAATAAATAATGGTGAAAGATTTTGTAGGGGCTACAGACCCATTTCTTTAGCCTTTCGCCCCTTTTGCATGTTTGAATACCCCCACAAATGCTATCATTTACTGCTTACTTGAGACTTACTGCAATCTGTTGGAGCCACTGCAGCCAATGTGTTGGAGGTAGTGTTTGCTTTGGATCTCACCATCTCTGACTTGCACACATGAAACAGTGTGAGCTGTTTGTGAATTTAATTTCCTCCACTGTTTCCACATGCCTGCAGATGAGTGGGATGGTGGCCTCCTTTCCACATTGCTGGAAAGGAGATGGCAATCCCTCTTCTCCTGGCTGAATGTAAACTGACACTGCACGAAAAGTCTCCCCTCCAGCAGGAAGCATCCCTCAGTGCATTCAATTAAGAGACTGGCCCTAAACAGGCAATGCTGACCTTCCTATGCTATCCTACTCTCCTGTCTTTGGGAAACATGCCTCTTCACCTTTCTCTACATTTCTTTTCCTAATCTTCATAGTTTCTTCCTCCCTAAGCAGCTTTTTATAGGTGGGTTGAAGTGGTGAGTACTACTGTCTACTCCAGATCCAGCTTCTCTGAACAGGACCTTCAGGCTTTCTATAAAGAATGTACATTATAGAAGTGCTGCATTAGGAACTGTGGATTCTCTTTTTTCCAAAGTTGATAGTTAATAGAGAAATTTTGTTGCCTTTGGTTTGTTTTGGTTTGTTTTTCCCAGCAAGCTTTGGAGATAAAATGCCTGGGAAGTTTTGGGTTTGGCTCTGGACCCTGAATCTTCCTAATCCTACACCAGAGGTCCGTAAATATGTTGTCAGGCTTAAATATTAATTTCAGATAGCAGCAAACTGTGGCACGGTCTCATGTGGATCCCTGAGCATGGGACTATCTGACTTAGCAGGCTTTACAGAGAGGAAAGAAGTATCCTAATCACTTAGACCAGACCAGCATTGAGGATTGGAGCTGCCTTGCAGACAGTTGGCTGCAGGATGGAAATGTTTTCTAGTAGTAGCATATAAATAATACAAGAACAGAGCTGGGACAAAAATATACTGACTGTTTATGGAAGGCGATGGAAATTTCCAACCAGAACACAAGAATAAGCAACTGGAGACCCCCAAGTCAGCCTGGGAGTTTTGGAGAGATCGAGGAGGGAAGGCTGAGCACCTGCTTGTCCCCACAGCTGCCCTATGTGGTACCAGCAAGTTGATCTCGCCCCAGCAGTGTTCTCTGCCGATGAGCCAGCAAGGACAGGCATCCCATACCAGATTACTCGAAGTAGGCATTTTTGTTCATGTTCGGTTAGTAGCAACACTGAAATGATACTCTGACTTACCTCTGCAGTACAGATGTATTCTAACTCACTACCTAAGTTGAAGCAGCATCCCTAGAAATGAAGGGACACTCCAGCTCATGAACAGTGCTTTGAGTGATCCCCTGACTGCTGCAATTTTAAAATGCCTAGTCTTTGAAATGTTGGCTACGACCATTATATTCTCATATGGGAAAAAATTGTAGGGTTGGCTTGTTTGTTTTTAGGAAAGTTCAGACTTCTGGTCTTGCAAAGACCCCTTAATAAACTCAAGACAGTATCTACACATTTTATTGCAGAGGATGGGTAGAAGACAAAACAATTCCAGGTTTCCTCTGAAACAGTTGTTTCTACAGGCTGCAATTGTTATTTTAATAGGCGTCCTACCAAGACATTCTGTTTTAAAACAGGCCTTTTCCTTCTCTTAACAAATAGGCTCCTGTCAAACAGTAATCCAGGCACTCGTGAGAACTGAGATGGTGGCTGGTACTAGTGACTAGACACTTCTGACTGCATCCTAGTGCTTTGTTCCTCATAGGATCTTTCCCCAAGCTGTAAAATGTGATGCCAGATTTAGTTTCTAAAGCCAGACGAATAACACTAATAGACACTAGATGGGTGTGAGTTGTCACATACACCAGCATTACAGACTGACTTAGTTAGCGTTATGTCTCAATTAGTAGCAGCCTTGAAAAATCAGTGGTGACAGACAGCATTTTTGCTGGTTTCTGTTGCAGTTCTTGAGCTGTACAGAAACTAAAAATAAAAAGAGTTTATGTTTATTGGTGAGGACAGAAACTTGGGACTGTAGTGCAGCTGTGTCCTGACCTGCCAGCTCAGTGTTTCTGGATCCTTCTACACCCCCGTTTATCTCCATGCATGTGTTCACAGTAACGCGTAGGTACCTCACAGAGGCTAAGCCATGCCTGGTTCCTGATGGGAAAAGCCAACATGATTACCTATACAACAGATGTTAGGTACGTGCAAAGCACAACTGTTTCTGGGTATTGCTAAAATTAACTGATGGGCCAGCTTCTCCTGGTTCTGTTTTGCATGTGTAGGAGTACACAAGTCCCCACACTACAGAAATCAGCTGGAGTTTTACACTGATTTCCAGGGGGACAGAAATCAGTTTTACACTGCTTTCCAGGGAACTGTGTTTTCTCAGCTGTGATCCATTTGCCAAAGTACACAATGATCTTATTCTGCTGTCTAAAACGATCCAGTGGCTACCAGAGGTTACAGGGAAAGTGAAATTAAGTCACCAGTTCACCCTCGTACAGAACAGACCTTCAGAAGGGTGGGATGCTTTAACTCATAAGGCGCTGTTCCTTTGAAGTACCTAAAATGCATTTTCATACAGTTTACACAGGCAAACTGCTACACATAAAGATGACATAACCTGATCTATAACTGAATTGTCTGATACAATTTTAATACTGGTACAAGCCTTGAAGTCAGTAAAGTCATCAGGTATTAAGAAACTATGTACCTCTTCTGAGAACAATACTTAAATATGCTTCTATTGAATCAGGGTTTATATATATTTTTTAAACATTTCAATATTTAATCACTTTTAATCACAGCCACCCCGTTTCAAAAACTTCTGTTAGCCACGGAGCACTTCCACTGACTAAATTCCAATTACATCTGATAGGGAATTAACACTCACTCTGCATAATACATTTCACCATTTCTACACGTCGTTTTTATTCTGTGAAGTGTTGAGTTAGCCACAGACTAAAATGTATTTCCTTTGAGAAGCACATGAATGCAACTGGCAAAACTGATGAAAAGGCTCTAACAACCGAGAAGTTCACTTACATCATTCAGGAACAAAAGCTGAATGGCTGAAGTTAATAATGGTAAAAATAAAACTACTCCCCCAAAATATATTTAATTATGTCTTATTTATGTCAGGTTATGTTTGTTTATTTGACCCTTATCTGAAATACTGAGGATGTATTCATCAGAACTGCTAAGCAATAAGCGAGATAGGGAGTTGCTATGCATTGTCTATACACTTGTATCCTCTGTTATGCACTTTAAAAGCATTGACAAACTCAAAGGTAATCAGAGTAAGCACTAGTGTACATCTTTCTTATCAGACATCCTAGAACTATGATTCCAAAATCAAGAGAAGCAGGTATATTACTAAAAATAAGGTTCATGGACTATTGATTCGTGGTTGAGTGTAACAGTCTGTGTTTGTCCTCACTTAACCCAAATCTAATCAAGCACACTAGAAATAAATGTTCAATGTTATTCTTAAGCTTATCCACTTTACAGCTTTGTGTAAAAACAGATACCAACACCAAGTAAAAAAATAGCAATTTTCAGTTTTTCAGTGCTAAACTGAGAGCTGAACAGACATCACATCAAAAAATTCTTTTAG